CGGTCCAGCTGCCGGCCTTGCAGTGCTGAAAAGAATGTGCAGTACAGCATGTCACATAGTATCGCAGCCTGGACAAATAGACGCTGGGAAGTCCTAGTTATGTGCTCACCTACACCACGATGCACCAATCTTCTGAGCTACTTTGGCAACAATTTTGTCCACTTGAGACTCCCATGGGCTGAGCCAGTTGTTGAGGGCTGCATCAAGGTGGACGGCAATGACCGCTGATGGCAAGGCAATCCATGACACACAGTCACTAGGGCATCGTCAACATGGCGCTAAGGCTGGATGAATAAAATCAACCTTTAGGCTGCCGCGGGATTGACAACGAGGCCGCTGTCTCGAAGCTAGTCAGTCAGCCTGGTCACCGCCATTGACGAACCAGTCGCCACCGCCAGCAGTGGCGGTAGGTTGTGACAAGTATGGTGCAATATTGTCAGCAAATTCAGTACTCAGGATAAGATGAGTGACAAAGGGAACGTTGTGTTTGATAATATTGAAGTGAACAGGGATGATCACAAACCCTGCGCGTACTCCACCGTGAGTTACAAGAAAATTCCGGACTGGACGACGAGCAAACACCAACCTGCTACATCCAACCAGGCAGATACTATAACGATAGCTGCCAAACCAGGTCAATGCCGACCTACTGCATAATGTCAATGTCAAACAGATCCTGCAGGAGAAGACTGGGGTGTTGGCGTCCAGTCACTGAGTGTACAGACACCAGTCACATTTCCTGCGTCTTTTGCAGCATACAGGATAGACTCATCACTGTAAAGTCCACAACTTCGTGATTTTTATTTGTAGAATACATGACAGGCGTATTCAGTGTGCCTCGCAGGACTGCGAGATGCAGAAGACCAGGTTCGACCTTTCTGGACCGCCATTCACCGACGGTGGGCTACACGATGCTGGAGGAACTAGATTCCAGTGAAAACCCAAGATTCCTTTGCTCCTGGACGCTCCGACGTGTTGTGATATCTGCCAGGTGCGCAGTAACTAGTATTTTCATCGCTATAGCGAGGACGACGCCGATCGGCAAACTCTCGCTCACAGCCATCACCAGCCTCTCAAAACCATCACTTGGCATCTCCCAGAGGTATAGGAGAAAGCCAAAACAGCTCTCAACAAATAAAAGCTAAGGACGATGGAAAGGGAGCATGTCAAAAAGAAGACGAACAGTATGAAGTTCAAATGGGTTTGAACACTCGTTCCACCAACTATACCACTTTCAATAAATCGTGACGCCATTTTGTTTTAACATGAATATCGCGGATTGTATGAATCGCGATGCCACTGGCGCTAGTCGCGATGGTTTTTTTCTTTCTGGTCTCCTCTGATCTTGCCATCGCTAGTTAGTTATCGAGATCGGACTGGGTTTCACCTGTCAAAAGGTGCGTGGGAGATAAGCGACAATTGCGATGAAACGGACCAAGTACAATATAAAAATTATAGCAATAAAAACTGCTTTATGGCAGTTTTCTAAAAAAAAGTTATTGTGTTCTAGTCCATGGACCCCGTCTAAAAAGTAAGAAATTAACGAAATGTGATAGCCGAAAATTAAAATTTCACACAAAACCTCACAATAATCACGACACTTGAAGATCTAATAATAGTACGGCTTTCAACACTTGTTTATTCCGACACTTGTACTTGTACACGTACATGTACTGCGCCAACATGCTTGCATATGAAAGAGGACCACGGTCCACGAGGGGAAAAGGTCGTCTCGCATCCTGTGTGTGATTATTGTGAGGTTTTGTGTGAAATTTTAATTTTCGGCTATCACATTTCGTTAATTTCTTACTTTTTAGACGGGGTCCATGGACTAGAACACAATAACTTTTTTTTAGAAAACTGCCATAAAGCAGTTTTTATTGCTATAATTTCTTTTGTTTTTTTGGCTAAAGGATATTATTATTTTATTTATTTTACTAGGGTGTTTCCCACAAACCTATGGTCTTCTTACGGGAGCCCCCAGAACCTATAATTGTGTCACCAATGGAATGCCCTAAAATTAATGATGGCCAACATGTAGCGCCTCTACATGTTATTATTATTATTTTATTTTACTAGGGTGTTTCCCACAGACCTATGGTCTTCTTACGGGAGGCCCTATGTACATGTACGTGTATCATTATCAAATTCAATACCGTATTTATACGCATTGATGTGCAAGCCTTTTCTTGCAGAAAGTAGGGAGGTTTAGTTCCCACGTAACGGAAACGCGTACGTGGGTGATCCACGGAAAGTGGATGGAGGGCACCTACGTTGCAATGTTGTGTTTAGTCACACGGAACAAACAAAAGCATGAAGCGAAAGGCCCAAACCTGGTCAAAGACGAAGCTACTCGGGCCTAAGAAGCTCATCCAATATTTTGATTTCGTGCTTCGGAAACTTCTTCAGCTGAGCACCCTCACAGCTCGCACAATGCGCTCCATTCTGATTTTCACCCACGTTCTGGCGGAACGTGGGTGAGCCTCCATACACGGTATGTCGTGAACCAGAAAACGTCTGTACGTGGGTCACTGAGTATCACGTGGTACACACACGTAAAGTACCCACGGATTACGTGGGACTAAACCTCCCTAATGGAACTAGTCTTGCGTACATGTACACTGTATTCAGGTTCTTCTGCCGGGGAATCAATTATGGGTAGTGCAGTGGCGGTGATACCTTTTATACGCAGGTCATTCTGTGGATGTTGCAGAATTTCACGACTCTGTCATAAAATTGTCTTGTCTTTCAGAAAATTCAGATGTCCACACCCTAAATCACATTTACATGAGAATTGTAACCAGGTGCGTGCCGCAGATGTTTTTGTTGATTCTGTGTTTATAATTGTAGTCATGGGTTGTCGTGATAAGGTCATCCGGCATCATATTGTAGTGAAATCGTAATCCTGTTGATGTCGATAAAACTTTTGGAAGCTGTTCAATGACTTCAAAGTGTTACAAGTCCACGATTGTCTAAAACAACACAGCAAAGTAGGAACAATAAACATGTATTAAAATGTAAACAAATACATTGCTGAGTCCGACACCTCGTTCCAACAACTACACTGATCCTGAGGATATAAGGGGCAAGGATATATGGTTGGAGGTACTGAGAGATAAACAAGGCACTCCATAATAATAACATGTTACACGACTTTGGGGGAGTATGAATGATATCCAGTCAAACCTCTTTAGGACGAACATCAAGGGACCGATGGCATTTGCTCTGTGAGTTTGTCTTAACCCTATTTTATAACGAGTGAATACAATTATTTCTCCAATAGAGACACGAATAGATTTCTTCTACAGCGAAAGATTCTAAGCCAGACCAAACCATTGACTCGTCTTTTATGAAACAAATGAGTCACTGAACCTTTCTTTAGCAACATGACGGCAACTGAAACAACAACAGAGAAAATACGATACATGTACAGCACATTCTTGCAGGTACAACAAACAGATTGCAGATCGTAATTCTTGCTCTACCGGCACGCAACTTTATTTGGGGCAGTGCAATCTCGGCGCTACTCACAAATCAAACAGCCCAGGCTCGAGTAAACAAATCCAATGGTACGAGATTTTCACGAGACGAGACTGCACCCATTGGCTTGTTTCGTATGAAGCAAACAAGTCACTGAATGCATGAACCTCTCCATAATGGAGATTTTCCCTGATATGCGAATTTATTTTGCATACTAGTACTCGGCCAATGCGTCCTTGAACCTTCCCCTACAGATTGGGAACTGCCAACGATGCTATGCCACTGCAAAATTCAGATTCTACCCTATGATCGGGGCACGGAATGCCGGAAGCAATCATGACCAGTGCCTTACTTGTAACGTACCAATGTACAATGAACATGAGTATTTCGACAACACATCTAAGCCTCAGCAGCAACATACAATGTAAGCCTTACCGTCAAGAAGGTGAACTCGCGTTCTTCGCACACTGTTGGCAAGGGCAAAGAGATACGAATGGATCTAAATCCGAATAAAATCAGCACACGTTTCCGTAAATGAAAGGGTGAGCATAAGCAAATGAATCGAAGGAAACTGGTCAACTCAGAGATCACCTGTCATTGAGTATTCCGTAAAAGGAGGCCTCGACAGCAGAAAAGCTTTATTTAGAAAAGTTATCCTGTCAGCTTTTCCATTATTTATTGTATTCCACCTAAAATCAGCACACTTTTCGTAAATGAAAGAGTCAACACAAGCAAATGAATCAAAAGGAACTGGTCAACTCACCTGTCATTGAGTAATATTCCGTGAAAAGAGGTCTCAGCAGATCCGAAGCGAAATAAGCCAGGACACGAAATATCCGAAACAGCTCATGCAAGAAGCAGTTCCAAAGAAGGAAGTTCCTCGCGCATGCCCATCCGAAAACGGACTGCACCAGGGAGGCCTACACATATGTGTAGGGCTCCCTGGACTGCACTGCGCTGCATGCAACACAATGTCTGCCGTGCACGTGCACAGCACGCGGCTACCACCCGTTGGTAGATCTAATACCGAGCACCTTACGTAGAAACTTACGTAGCCTAAGTGAAGTACCGAGCATGCTAGCACCTTCCGTAGAAACTTACGTAGCATAGCGGTGTCGTTTTTCTGCCATGTGAACACAATAATAGAAAAGCTGACAGGATCGCTTTTTCTAAATGAGTCACTCACCAGAGTGGCAGGTAGATCTACAGTCACTTGACCATGTTGACAGTTGCTTGCCCGCGGCGGGCAAGCAACTGTCAAGTGACAAATGCCTCAGAGTACAATCATGCTCTTTGTGTCTGACACACATTTTCACCATACTCCTAGTACAGTCCTAGTCTAGTCCGTTCTCAGTAGATCTACAGACCAGACCATGTTGACAGTTGCTTGCCCGCGGCGGGCAAGCAACTGTCAAGTGACAAATGCCTCAGAGTACAATCATGCTCTTTGTGTCTGACACACATTTTCACCATACTCCTAGTACAGTCCTAGTCTAGTCCGTTCTCAGTAGATCTACAGACCAGTTGTCCTTGGTGTTATTGGTGATCGGAGCACTTCTGCTCTGGTCCTCATTCCGCCATCCTTTTCAGCTGGTTCGCCTTGTTGCGGCCATTTGTGCGCAGAGTAACATGCTGATGGAGGGGCGAGGGAATAACACCATCAACCTCGCCTCATGGCCCTCTGCACTCCCCAGCGTAGTGTTTCTACTTGCAGCGCTTGGCAGTGGTAGCAATGCAATTATTATATCAGCTTGTCTGAACACTTCGCACTGCCCATGGCGACCCGTCGGGAGGACGATGAACGTGTTACCATGAAGATGTTGTGACGAAAGTGTTTGTCTGAAACGTAGCTGAAAACAGGATGGCGCAGGGAGTTCAGGTCCTTGTCTTAGCTTTCACCGGCCAGGCGTTTGGACATCGGACAGTCAAGAACTTGAAGAAGGTTAGGAAACCATGAATTTTTGTCTGTCGAAGGGTGTATATTTGGTGTTGACGTTGTGGTGCAAGATGTGGTTGTTGCAGGTGTGGAGGGGAGGTTTGGTGGTGGATGTCCCATGCTAGTAGGACTTGTTTAACAAGGAGTCGTGAGCTAAGGGTGGGGAGCTTTGCATGATGGAGGAGGGAACTGTGGTGAACTAGTGCAAAGAGGGGAATCCGAAGGCAGATGCGTATAGCACGGCGTTGAATTCTCTCCAGTGTGTCCCGCTGTTGCTGTGTGGTGTTGGAGAGGGCAAGGCTGCCATATTCGAGAACGGGTAGGATGTAGGTCGTGTATATTAACAATAGGCTGGAAGAGTTCATTGTGCCACGTGTCTTGTGGAGTTGGCGTAGTAGTTTTTTTGGCTTTGTTGGTGGTTTCTATGATGTGTTGGGTCCATCGCAAATCGTCTTGGAGTGTAACACCAAGGTGCCTATGTTGGTGGACCTGCTGCAGCCGAGTCGAGCGGAGCGTGATGTAAATGGTGTGTTGGGGGTTGGAAGGAAAGGACGACGTTTTTCGTGGTGTAGCCTAGAAGTGGCTATGGAAGGACATAGTAAAAGCTATGGAAGCACATAGTAAGCAGGGTTTGTGATCATCCCTGTTCACTTCAAGCACATAGTAAGACAATAGGATACTAATAACTGCGAGAAAACGGGGGGAGAGAGAGAATACGATGTATCTGTGATACTACGTGAGGATTACTGAACTGCACGGGGATGGAGAGCAGAGCGATCAGCAGCAACTCGAACTACTCCCTACAGGCGTATGGTACACATGCATGCTCAAACTCAGGTAGCCGGGTAATTGTGCATTATTTACCAGTGAGAGCGTTCTTCAGCAGAGCACCAGCACCGCTCACCGGTTTGCCTGGCTGACGTACCCCATTATTTTGACTGCTGATGGCCTGAATCGTTGACAGTCTGTTTGTCACTGTCTGTCACTTTTGCACATAGTGCACTAGTAATAGTTGATTATCGTAACCGATTAGGCGCGTACGAAGGGGGGTTTCCAGTTGCCCGGAAACCCCCCAAATGTTCCAAATGAGCAACGTTTTTTGGGCTTTTTTGGTAGGGCGCACGATCGATCTGGCAAGAATGCGAAACTTCAACAGATCGTAACTCAGTCAAATCTCGCTCTAATCCAACAATACAAATATCCAGGTCGAATAGAAAACTCTCAGCTGTCGGTTGAAACAATTTGCGACGCGCTGCGAGCTATGTCTCTTGAGATAAGTCATTTGTAAGTTGAGCCGCGATCTCGGCAATTTCAAAATCGCGCAGAGCGACTTGAGTATCGAGAATTTGAGACTTTTCCTCACCCTGACTTGCTCAAATTTCCAGGGGCTTCACTGCACTTGTGATATTTTCAAGAGTACACAGCAAAAAATCAAAAGTCTGAGATCAAGAAAAACGAAATCGCTGGAGCAGGACGCGTTTGGGCCTTTGGGGCATTTTTCGCATCGTGGCTGCACTCCACCGCTATCGCTGGATATGTACATGACTGTACTGTGTCCTGGCTATCATGGTCGACCTCATTCTCTCCCAGGTACCTTTTCACTTCCAGGAAGCCCAAGATAATGAAGATTGAGAGAGTAGAACCGAAGTTATGATCAAAAGAACACGAAAAAATTTCCTAGGGCTCTTTACAAAGGGTTAAAAGTTAAAACTCATTGTTTGGGATTCAGTTGGAAACCCTCCTGGAGGTTACCCTGCGTACGCGCCTGCCGTTCCAGAAGGGAACTCACGACGGCCGCTGACACCCGCGGTACCCGATAAACCTAGCGGGCGAAGCTAGTGCGCGATCAAAAATGCACATTCCAACATTTTCAGTTGCCGTCACGCTGAGAATAACTCTGATATCTTCTCGCTTACCTATGCGTTTTGGGGCTGGAAATCCTTCGGATTTTAGGCACTTTCACCAGTACTTCGTCTGGTTTCTATGAGCCACGATTTTACAAATCGGTGAGCCGCTCGACAGATCGCGCTGTGCATATTTGTTTGGGTTTGAAAACGTTTTCTTCATCACGGCGCGGCACACACGAATGGCGCTTGGTGTTGTAGTTTCTACGAGTGCATAGCTATAATCAATAGCTTTCCAGAGAGTGGTTGTTTGTGAGAAATGGCCAAAGGAGAACAGAGATATGACAAAATTTGTATTTTTGTAGACTGTGGATTGACTCAATTGCGAAAATAATGAGTAGTGAAAGGGTTAAAACTCTTTTTTGACTAGCCGACCTGCATCAATATACATGTACATGTACAGTGCTGCGCAATGAAATCCAGTCGATGCACTCATGAGTCATGTACACGCCGGGCGTTGCGCAGCCTGGCCCCTAGTCTAGGCCTAGACCTGGGAGCACTGGGATTCGAAATGGTGCAAGGCGCAGACTTGAGTTCCGCGACTGACTTCACTGAGCAGGACTGTCGATGTGGATGAACAAGTGTGCCTTGCTTCTATGAGCAGTCAGTTGAAAATAACTAGCCGTAGCATCCTACATTCAGCAGCGATGCAGTAGTTTCACCTTTTTTTAATGTATTCCTCCAAGGAATATAGACGCGGCATTGGTACGTGTATATTGTTGTCAACTAACTTCAACCAAGCAAACCCTATGCTGGTGTAGCGGCATTGCTGGAAACAGTGGAAAGTAACGTTACATCTCCTGCTTTACGATTTCCCTCGGTGTTCTACGCAGCATGAAGCATGCAGTACGTTGGCGTTTTTTCTCGTGCGACCAGTGGTAGTCTTATTCCTTGTACAACATAATTACGTCATTGGACGTTGCCTGCATGCCGATGTCTGAACTGAAGTCGCCATAGCCGACAGGTCTAACCGCAAGTCAGCGGCCGCGCATTCCACACTCCCCTCTCCGTTATAGTACTGTGCATCCAGGCGAGATCGCGAGATTATTCAACGTACAACTAATTACTTTGGACGTTGCCTGCCGACATTTGCAGTCGCCATAGCCGACAAGTCTAACCGCAAGTCAGCGGCCGCGCATTCGACACTCCCCTCTACATTATACTGTGCATCCAGGCGAGATCGCGCGAGAGCGTTAGGATGCTGCTATGCTGCTCATCGGACGTTACGTAACTCGTTACTGCTCTTGCGAGTGGCTCAGCCGGCGCCTGATAGCTTGGCTGGCATTGGTGCACGTGGCGGTGGACTCCGAGTTGCGTGCGTGTCCGATGCACGCTTGTGTGAGGTCCACCGCTGATACGAAGCTGAAGCTGGCCGATCGAACGGGACAATGCTGTGATGCATAAATGTGTGTGTATGCTTGGGTGTGTGTGTGTTTATGGCAGCTTCTGTGGTTTTCCAGTAAATACGCAAGTAAGCCATCTACCACCAGTACCAGGCATGCAGGCAGTACACGTCGTACCTGCCGATCTACGAGTCGCAGAGTCTACAGGCTTTCGTATTCTGTCTTCGCTCGAGGTCTTCTCAGTACACTATGGAGTATGGGCATGGTACACACTGTGCATTTTACATGACGTATCTTTGTATAGGAGGAATGATCTTTGGAATCAGGCAATGGTATGGATGGATGCTGGTGCCCCTCCTTTACATGCAGTGAAATGAAGTGACAGGTGCCGTAGACACCTTCGAACCAGACTTCTGCCACTGAGCCAGGATCAGTCGTGCCACTCACTGAGCCGGGATCAGTCCTGCCACTGAACTGAACCAGGACGGCAGGATCTGGGTAGGATTCGATCATCCCACTGAGCCCAGGTCCAGGAGTCGTGTCGACACTGAGCCAGGGCTAGGGCGGCAGGAGTCATGACGCAGTGGGCCCAGGCTCTTGTCATAGTAGGCTCTATCACGTAGGCTAGTTTGTGAGTTTCTGAACAATTCACATTCAAGCGACCCGATAAGGGACCCGCGGATATTCATTCTGCTTCTCGTCTACAGTTCTCCTAGTCCTACCGTACATGGTAGGAGGACGGGAAGACGGAAACAAGAAAACGACACACTACAGTATGCAGTGGTGCACGCCGAGCGCCCTATCGAAACATGACTCATCAGATTCTGTTGCGTGACAGAGCCTATAGTAGGCTATACCTAGGCCAGGGCCAGGAGCTGTCACCATGGTCACTCTTTGCACCAAAGCGTATAATACGTACTGACAAGAGTCCATAAACAAGAGTATGCAGCTTACTGTGATCTCTTTTCTATGGCCAGTATGGGCCAGATGCGTGACGCGCTGCATTCTTTACATCATTCAGCTGCAGTCCGCGCACTGCGGAAAATCAAAAACCGCACTTTTCCTCTGGTTTGAAATGGACTTTCGTACGGAACTGGAGTTCACGCGCCAGAATTTAGAGATCGGGTAGGTACATTGTACTGGAATGAATCGAGCAAAAACAGATGGGCTCGTACGAGAAATTGTGAGTTTGAATGCATGCTTTCAGAGCGTGATGAAGGCCTTCATCTTGCAGACCAATGATCTGTGAGTCTGACAGAGCCTACAATCTTGTAGCCTGTCACAGTGTGAGCTTACTCTGTGAGTTTGGACAAATTTGAGGACGCAGGAAGGTTGAGCTCGACACACGAGGGCAGAGGTATGTAGAGAGAGAGAGAGAGAGAGAGAGAGAGAGAGAGAGAGAGAGAGAGAGAGAGAGAGAGAGAGAGAGAGAGAGAGAGAGAGAGAGAGAGACAGACAGACAGACAGAGACAGAGAGAGACAGAGAGAGACAGAGAGAGACAGAGAGAGAGACAGAGAGAGAGACAGAGAGAGAGAGACAGAGAGAGAGACAGAGAGAGAGAGAGAGAGAGAGAGAGAGAGAGAGAGAGAGAGAGAGAGAGAGAGAGAGAGAGAGAGAGAGAGAGAGAGAGAGAGAGAGAGAGAGAGAGAGAGAGAGAGAGAGAGAGAGAGAGAGAGAGAGAGAGAGAGAGAGAGAGAGAGAGAGAGAGAGAGAGAGAGAGAGAGAGACAGAGAGACAGAGAGACAGAGAGACAGAGACAGAGAGAGAGACAGAGAGAGAGAGAGACAGAGAGAGAGAGACAGAGAGAGAGAGAGACAGAGAGAGAGAGACAGAGAGAGACAGAGAGAGAGACAGAGAGAGAGACAGAGAGAGAGACAGAGAGAGAGACAGAGAGAGAGACAGAGAGAGAGAGAGAGAGAGAGAGAGAGAGAGAGAGAGAGAGAGAGAGAGAGAGAGAGAGAGAGAGAGAGAGAGAGAGAGAGAGAGAGAGAGAGAGAGAGAGAGAGAGAGAGAGAGAGAGGGAGAGAGAGGGAGAGAGAGGGAGGGAGAGGGAGGGAGAGGGAGGGAGGGAGAGGGAGAGGGAGAGGGAGGGAGGGAGGGAGGGAGGGAGGGAGAGGGAGGGAGGGAGGGAGGGAGAGGGAGGAAGGGAGAGGGAGGGAGGACTAATTTCTTGTAGTAGACCGTGTTGCCCGTTGACTTGTTTTCACGTGTTTTGGTCGACCCTTGTATGCGAACATTATTCGTAATTTAGTTTTTGGTTTTTCAGCTCAGTCCAATAGTTAGTTATGATTGTCACATTGTGTAGATTTACGTTTGGCTCTTTGGATTGTGATCACGTTGTGTTAGTTGTATCAGAGCAGTATATAGTCACTTCTTCTGATATCCGTGTTTGCACGTGTATAGGTCGACCCTTATGAGAAAGGAATATCGTTAGTCGTTTGTTTGTCCGCTCATTGAGTTGTATCGCGTTGTGTATAATTTGTTGAGCTGTCTGTGGTCATTTCAAATGTCTGTGTTCCGGCCTAAATGGAGTCGCTGGAAAGTTTCTTCTTGCTGAAGATGCTGTGCGTGTGGAAACTTCCTCGAAATTTGCGCCAGTTCAAATTGGCTGCGGTCATCGCTATTGCAAACGGTGCTGTTTTTTTTGTTTTTTTGTTTTTTTTGTTTCTTTTTACATGTAAGCCTCAGCTCGAGCTCAAGCAGAATGAGAGTACAGTATGTATGTGGTGACGAGGCCCTGGAGCTCGGCCGACCATGAGATCTCGCGCTCGGCCTCGCAGCAACCAGGACGCGCCAAAAAAGTGGAATGAATAAAAAAGAAAAAATTAATAATGTCTGGTGAAGAGAATGGCGGAGAAAGCCAGAGCCAACGCTTGTATCCGAGACCCTTGATGGAAAGATTTCTGCCCCGCCCCCACTTCTATCCATGCCAGTCCACCGCCCCCGCTGTGCAGCATCTGATGGTTAGGCCTTGACGGATTATGCCAATATTTTCGTGAAATTATGCTTTTCGCATTGCTGAAAAAATTGCCGAAATATGCTATTAATTTTTTATGCTAAACGTTATCATATTATGCCGCATTATGCTGCACATTTGCGACGAAACACCACAGCACTAGCCAACTTGGTTTCGCAAAAAAAACATGCATGACGACTAGCGCAAGAGCTTTTTTCGTAGAGGGCGTTGTACTGGGAGTTGTACTTATAGTAGCGAAAGTTCAATGGGGTCAACGCACCGTCCGACCTAGCTACGACCGTCACTGATTGTGGTGGACTGGAAATGTTATCAAGGGAGTCGTAAACCTACGACTTCCTGGTGCATCTACTTGTACTTGTACTTGTAGAACATGTACAACTGTATGGAATTTGATGCGAACAGGCGGATTATTCCAATTTATGCGATTCGTATGCAATTTGCCTCGAATTATGCGATTATTCGATTTTGGTAGGAATTATGCGAAAAATTATGCTAGCATAATCCGTCAAGGCCTACTGATGGTTCTGTGGTTCCCCAAATCGGCCCGTTTATTTCGCCTATTCGGCTTTTCGCTAGGCTCAGAAATACACCAGATTCGGCTGCAATATCAGCTGATTGTTCGAAAATCGGCTGCAAAATTGGAATAATTATATTGGAAAATGTGCTAAAAGAATTGTTGGCATAATTATTTGCTTCAAGATTAGTGAGATATTGGAAGATTTGGTAGATTTTCGGCGATCCTCAAAGGAACCCTCCAAAATCGTTGAAAAGCTAAGCGATTTTCGATAAGTCTCGTTTTCGGCAATTTTTTTCAGCCGGCCGATTTGGGGATTTTACTGGTAGCGATCTTCCTAATGACTAATGTTTGTTTGAGGGGAGGGCAAAGGACACGAGTCACACGACCTCAACGCACTAGTACTACGACCAAGAGTACATAGCCCCCCAAAATGTACGACTTGCTACGACTACAGTAGTAGAGAGCTCGAGTGGTCATGCTTGCACTTGGCAGCAACATCATTCGTTCGTAAACGCACTTTGCAACAACATTTTGACGGTAGACTTTTGGCGATTCTCAAAGGAACCCTCCAAAATCAGCGAAAAGCTTAGCGATTTTTCGATAAGTCTCGTTTTCAGCAAATTTTCGGGAAAGCCTATTCTGTGGTTCGGAATAAAAGAAACTGCGGAAAGTGGGCGGAATTATAATAGAAGAAAACACATGGAAACGAGTTATGAAGCAACTATCCACGACTGTAGCAAGATAATAAGTAGTCAGAAAATGCGATAACGGATTGAAATTACGGTTTCGGAAGTGATGGAACGAATGGGTCTCACTTTGCCTCCCCTCATTCTTGTCCAGGTGAAGCTGAGGAGCTGTGACAACAATTTACAAACATGGATCCGTTACGACGGCCCTATTCTGCACCCGCTGGACATGTGAGGGCTGAAGTACATTCCTCAAGGCAGCGGCACTTCAGCGTCTCTTCACTGCGTATGCGGGTACGTAAGAGAGGCCAGGCTTCTGGGCATCCCGCCTTGTACAATTTTAAAAGCATGTTTCTCTGCTTGTACCAGCAGAAAACCTGAAATTTACAAGCAAACACGTGCAGATTCACATAAATCCAGTGTAAAAATGTGGTAATATCGGTCCCAGTCAAATAAAATTCTTGCACGTATGTCAACACAAAAACCAGGCTGATGTGGCGATCACCAGTCTTGAAAGACAGCGTCTAAACAGTCGTGTTAACTCAGCAGCTTGTAGTATAAGACAGTAAACAGCCAAGGCATATTGCACCAGGAGTTCTCTTGCATAGAGGCATGCTTTGGTATCCAACGATGTAGCCTGTGTGATATCCTGCAGGATTTCCCCAGACATGTTTGCACGGACGGTCGAGGTGTGGAGGAGACGACTCGCAGCCAACTACCTATACGATGCTCGTCAGTTGCTTCGGGATCGTCCGGATTTCTGCAGCACAACCCAAGAATGCCCCTTGGGCTTGTAGACTACGACCAGCGGATGCCAGCGCAGGAGACAGTGCGCGAAAGCTCTGGAGGTGAGTTGAAATTCAATAATAATTTCAGTGTTCACTTGAGACCGAGTTAGACTGAGTTCATAGGAATGCCCCTGCAAAGATCAAAGGCGCAGATGCCGCTCATAAAGTGGTGGGAGATGAGTAGATTGGCCCACCGGCATAGTGGTTGAAGACCGAAAATGATCCCATTCGCTGAATCCATGTTTCCCTTGTGCCAGGCCACGAGTTCCGGCCAATCAACTGTGTCAGCAGCACGGCTGGAAATAATCCTTCCGCTTCCAAGCAGGACTCAAAACCTGGTGCCCTCTGTTTCTCAATCATGGTTTTAGACCATCCCACTGTGCCTGCTTCATAATTGCTTCCTCAAATTTCGTTCTTACTGAAAAAGGCTTAGCATAGGTAATGGCTTGCCTGCATCTCATAAGGTCCCCAGTTCGAGACCCGCGCTGGGAGCAGGGAGAGTTCAGTCTGCTAACAAATGCGGTGATGGGTGCGTGAACCACTTTACCTGCAAGGAACTGAGCCGCCACCCACGGTCACCTGGGTGCTCACTACTCGGAGTGAGGGTGACATGGATGCAGCTAACGAGGTCCCCCGCCTTGTCGGGCATTGGTTGAGAGTCACCACCTCACCCGTGCCGTTAGGCAATGCGTCTGCCACCCTTGTATCACGGGCATGATGGTGGCATGGCACAAGTGAAACTGCTTAAGCCGCTTGTGTTTCTGAACATTGTATCGCTGGTTGTATCGCTGGTTGTAACGCGGATGTGCGACCTTTACTTTTAGATACTAACTATTTCAATGTACGAGTACTCACGCAAGGATTTGGATCATGTCGATGCTTCCCTTTAGGTTTGTTTCAACCAAGGGTGTACCATCCTGGTCGTGCAGCGTTGCCAGAACGTACTATTCCTCCACTGCGACTTCCCCAAGATGTCCCACAGCATGAGGGAGGCAGTTTTGTGAATCGACCAACAACGTTAGCCTCGAGACGTGAAGGCACGTCATGCTTCTCTACAGGCACTTCCATGCCAACTCTTGGCGACGTGCCTGCATCTCTCAAATGCCCGATATGCCGGAGTATACTGTGTAAACCAGTACAGACCGCCTGTGGCCATCGCTACTGCATGTCCTGTCTGGATTCTATCTTGAGGTAATTCAATATCCTGCAGGAAACTCGAATTTCGCATGGTAGAACGGCATACACTCTGCCATGATCCGGATCATGGCTGAGTGTACTGACTTTACCGCACTGTGTATGAACTGCATGCTGCTCTACAGAGTACAGTGCTTGCTACGCTGTCTGTTGTGTGGTTACAGTAAATACCCGATACACTGTGTTCTGAGATGAGAAACACATGACCGTAATGTGATGTGGATTGTATCCATTTGACGAGAGTACATTGTGATTTCTTCCCTCCGCCAACAGACGTTCCAACTCATCGCCATTATGCCCCGTGGATTCTCAAACAATTCATCCAGTAAGTTTTGCCGGTGAACATGTGTTTTATAACACCGTCTAGTTCACATGTTACCAGTTGAGTTGTGGTCAGTGTATAAGCATTGTTCCCCAGGCTAATCTCAGGGAGTGGGTTCTCCAATGAGATACATCGTACTGACATGTGCATCCATAATAATAATTATGTCCCTTGCTTTCACCCCATCGCTCCCCCCAGGAACGGGAGATCTCTACAAAGGGCTGTCGCATCCTGGTTTGCTTTTGAAAGTGCCAACACTAGCTGATTTCAGTACCAACACAGGAGGCATGCCACGATCTATGCCGTATCGTCTGTACCTTCTTTTGCTGTTTGGGCACAGATATTTGCCGACAAGCACTGTGAGCGTCAGATACTGGCCTTGCCGGTTCATTGTCACCACAGCAACATTGGATGCCCCTGGCGTGGCACTTTCAGCGGACTTCCGGTAAGAGGGTGCATGGCTTGACTGTTCGACTGTTGCAACCCACCGGGTTCTCTGCATATCCCTCGGCTGACTCAGGACCGCCAGAAGCAGTTTTGACTGGTCCGGCAGTAACTCGGCCTTTCATACAGTTTGTGTATCGATATGGCGGGTACACATATTAAGTTGTGTAGGATATGGCGGGTACACATACCCTCCACCGTAGTAAACACGTGCTGGGGGCTAACATGACATTGTTGGTCCGGTAATAACCTGCCCAGCTGCATCGGTTCAGGCAGCGCGAACCTATTACTGGCTGGTATCTCTCGTGGAAGACTCAGTGGAGGATGTTCAGGTTGTGGGAAACTCCGAGCTTCATCGTGAAACTCCGAGATACAGCGAACCTGAACGTCCTCCGCTGAGTCTGATATGTTCTAAGTTCTGTCTTTGACATTGAGCACTCCCCCAACAGCTCGGGTTCAACGGGCTTGTGGCTGTTATCTCTTGAACATATCCCTTCTGTAGCCTGTCAGACTGGGAGAAGAAATGTAAACAACTGCCTTCCTTGGGTTCCTTCACGTAGACGCTGCATAATCAGACCTTTTATGGATTTGACAATTCAAGTTACTGTACAATCTATTCCGTTCTGTATACTGGGCTCTGTACATGTTTCTAACTACAGGAGCATTTGTTGGATTGCGACTACGAGCAGTTTCAGTGTCTTCATGTTGGCTGTACGATGCGGTCAATGGTGCGTCGTGACATGGACAGGCACATACGCTACGAGTGTGTGCACCGCATTGTCACGTGCGAATACTGCAGTGCGCCGTTTGCCCAGCGTGCGTTGGCCAAGCACCAGCGGCGCGACTGTGCGGAGTATTCTGGGCCCTGTCCGAACGCGTGTTGCAAGCTGATCAAACGCGGCAATGTAAGCATTCAGTCACACTATCACTTGCAAAGTTGATAATGTTCACAACTCTTTTATATTCGTTGTTCCACTGTATGTTGCAACGCATTGGTGGCGCATACAATGCATTGATCTTGCAACCATTTTTTTCAGGAAGAGCTTCAGGTGACACGTTGGTTCCTGCACAGAGGGGGGGGGGGGGGTAGAAGTTGCACCGTTAATTCAACAGGTCGCAGAGAAATCTGTATAAAAAGCTGAAACGTAAACATAGAAGTTCTAATTGCGGTAACTGCCACACTCGTCAGCTCCGCAGCTTAGTCCTGAGTTGAACTAATAGCAGTACATACAGTACATGTGGAATATCAAATATACGGACCGTTCAGAGCAGATGCTGTTGAGAAGGGGTTTGGCTGGAGGAAAAATGATTAGGTATTAAAATTAATGAATGAATGAGTCACAGATGCAGCATAAGGCCAATACGTGCATGTGATCCATCAAATACTGTATCATTTGTGCTCATCCGTCAACCCACACCCACAGGTTGTTTTAAACACTGACTATTACTGAGCCAGTCACCAGACACACACGGTCACCAGACACACACGTACTGATCCAAGGCGTATGGCTGAGAATTTGACCTATAAGCAAGGAGTCGGTCAGACTGATTTCCAGCTGTGCACGACCTGAAAGATCAATGCGTAGCTGTGGCTCAATCATACAGTGCTTTTTAGTACTAGAAAATAAACAGCTTTCTTTATGTGGATGTTTGTGTTCGGTCGTTTTCTCCAGCTTGACCGCCATACACGGCTGAACTGCTCGGACCGCCGGCAAACCTGCCCCTTCAACGGAGTCCGCTGTGAATTTCAGGTATGCTCTAGTACTATACACAAAGACGGTGTTGACTGACCTTTTGTAACCTTGCTTAGCTAGAGGGAGACCTGGAGACTGCATAGGCGTGTGTGATGGCCGCCGTATGTTGTAACGTCGAAAAGAGAGCAACATTGTTCGTTGCTCCGTCCATGCGTGTAGCGCTCTTTAAGAAATCGATCAAATAAGTTCGTCACACCGCCAGCTGATTATGCATGGTCTAGTACAAGTAAGGGGGCTGGTTGGACCGGACGTGACGCAGCGGAAAATGATAGAGCAGGTATATTTTTTTCTTGAAATGCAAATGCTGTGCCCCAACAGCACCTGGGCATCAAATTTGTCATTCGCACGCACATGGCATAAAGGGTGGTGAACTGACTTCTCCGTTCTGTGGGTCCTGAAAAGAGTATTTTAGATGTCCTCCAGAGCTTTTACTTCGCTGGAAAGCCCGACAGTATTGCATCCGTTGTCGTGGTATATACATATTGCTTTCATCAAGAAACATTTGTTTACGCTCGCAACCACCTTACTGTCTTGTTCTGCCTTCCATCTACTTTTCCTACGCTCTTTACAGGGTACACCCGCTCAAGTCACACAGCACTGTACAGACCACCAACAGCAGCATCTTGTAATGGTGGCCAGAGAGCTAGGCCGCGAGAGTGACGCTGTGTACGACCACCTGGCTATGGTTATGCTGAGAGTGGCTCACGTAGAGGAAACGCTCAGTGCAGAGGTGAAATCTGTAACGGCAAAGCTGGCCAGGTTGAGGCAAGACGTCGAGACAAGATTGAAGGCATTCAAACGGATCCCTGATTCCCCTAAACCCAGCAGCCCTGCAGTGCCAGAGACAGATCTGCGCCTTCTCTCAGCGGAAACAAGCAGCTACGATGGCGTCATCATCTTCAAGATCAACAACTTCACACAACGACTAGAGGACGCACGTACCGGCCAACGAGTCAGTCTATACAGTCCAACTTTCCACACCGGTCGTCATGGTTACAAGGTGTGTCTTCGTGTGTACCTCAATGGCGACGGATCGGGCAAAGGCTCTCACATCTCCGTCTTCTTCACCATCATGAAGGGAGAATTTGATGGCCAGGTCAGTTGGCCGTTTCGTTTCAAGGTTACGTTTGCCATCCTTGATCAAGGGCAGGCACGCCATCACCACATTGAGTCGTTCATCCCGGACCCGCACAGCAGTTCATTCCAGAAACCCGTCAACAACATGAACATCGCCAGCGGATGCCCGAAGATGATCAGCCACAGCGAGCTGTACGACAAGCAAACAAGCTACCTTCGCGATGACTGTCTCTACATCAAGGCATGGGTGGGCCAGTCGGCCAGTGTTAAACTGGATGACTGAGGCGGGTATCCATGAGCAAACCCACACATGCTAGACTTCAAGTACGGTATGTTCACTGGGGAGTTGTAGCGTCGACACGCTTCTAAAAGCCAGGGTACCCGAGTGCAAGTGAAGCCTAACCCTTATTGGCAGCATGTGGAAGATCAGTGACTTATTTACCTCAGGCAAGACCAACACCATCTTTTGGCCACGGTCACTTGCTATGCCTGCCCAGAAAGTATGTCGTGGGGTGTACTTATATACCCCAGGCCTCCCTAAACTCTCTTTGTTTCCTTGATTACTATTGCAATCACCCCCCCCCCCCCCCACCACCACCACCACCATCACATAACCCTCCTCTCCGTCTGTCTTTACTGTAGTCTATTCTGTTAAAATAATTATTTTAATTTTTTTGGTAACACTAAGGGTAGCAGCTGCCCACAAGAACAAAATGTAATGGTATACATGCTGGTTTCACACGTACACTGTACGTATGCTATAATCTATACGTATGCAGTTAACGGCTTCGCACCTGGGATGACTGCCCCTATGGCACACATTTCTGCATCATTACTTTTCACCGTTTTGCACTATTCTCGAACCTTTTAAACAATTTTTTTTGATCTTGACTGGCACTCCCTTCGTCCAGTCCACCCGTTGGCTGTTTTAGCCGCCACGCGGCTTATGGCGCTGTGGTCCCTGTGGTGTGATTCTGCTAGTACTAGTACCTTACAAGTAGACAACAATAATCAAGTATATTATGACTGCGTCTCTACTACTGGACTCTAGTCAGTTGTCCTGCCTGGCGGTAATGGCCGGCAAGGTTTTAAAATCTCTTTCCAGGTGTGTTGCCTGAGCTGCAAGCACATCCCAGGCACGCCTGTTGTACACCTTTTCTCAGCCCCAGGGTCAACACACATGTTTTGGAGCCCAACTAAACTACTAAAGCCTGACAAGAATGATGCTGTCCCACGTCTTCTGCAGTTCTGGCTATGTGCAAACACGGCCCCAGGTGTACTCTGTCCAAAGTGTGTGCTGGCTAGCTGTAGGACATACTCTGTCCACAGTGTGCTGGCTAGCTGTAGGACATTATACTCTGTCCACAGTGTGTGCTGGCTAGCTGTACGAGATACATAATACTGTACTGTAGCAGTGTAGTGCAACAGGAAGGACAAAATCGATTTCTTTTTGCCGAACATGTGCTTTAGTTACACGTGTAATGCAGGTAATGAGCCAAGCGCATAGAGCAGCAGTCACGTTGAAACTGCGATCATAGTAGTTCAGTTGATACATGAATGGACCCTCTATGCCACTCACAGCGACTCGATGAGTAGTTACTGTTTGTGAGGCCCTCAAACGAAATCGTCCAATCTCTCCGGCCCGGGTGCAGAAATTGTTGTCATGTGGAGTCATGCGCAGCTAGTGTGATACTATTATCACAAACAGTTGAAACACTGTCTTTCACGAAGAGTCTGTGTCACGGTGCACCGGTGTACGTGTGTACGTGTGCCTATCACTGATCACCACCACAGGCTCTAGCCTAGACCTAGGCGCCTAGGCCCTGGACCTAGGCGCCTAGCGGCCCTGGACCTATAGACCGGCAGCCAAATTTGAGAAATCGCTCGTATCAACAGGCGTGCTTCCTTTTTCTGCTGACAACCTGCAATTTCTACAGTGCGTTGACTATACTTGTAGGAAGCTGAATCTTTTAGTTGGCCATGCTAGAGCTGTGCAGAAACAGACATACCGAGAGATTTTCTGCACTGGAATTTCACAAATCTCCGGCCATTGAAGCACCTTCTTCAAGCACTCAAGACCCTGAAAAATTCAAAAATTCAGGACGTTGCCGGTTCAAACCCCACATCGGGCGACTTTTTTTCTTTTGTTTGGAACTGAATTGCAGTGTTCTCGTGGTATTTAGCCAGCAATTTTAGCAGTATGTCAAGCCGATCGTAATTAACTTCTTCACAGAAGTAAGAAAATTCACTGAATCCCCATCAGGACCATCAATCCGGAAGCGTTTGTAAGAGCAAGCATGTTCAGGCTTTCCGTCTTCTTGCGAGAATAAAGTAAAGACAAGACAATACAAAAGAAATGTGAATTAGAGTGTCAACTGCCAGCACAAAGGATCACTAGCGAATCATCTGCCAGGCATATGTAATGGCCAGCTGTATTGATGTTTACACCTAGTCAGACATCGAAAACAGCAACAACTAAATCGACAACATCAACAACAATAGCAGCAGCAGCGGCACACACACGTTTGACAACCCCACCCATACATGCACAAACACACACACATTAACACTACTACTACTATTACTACTATATACAGCTGCAATTGCTGGCCACGCCGCTCCCAAGATGTGGGAGACGACGTCACGGAAGAAGTTCATCAATGACAGTACGGCTGATGCCGTCCCAGATCCTGGGGACGCCGAAATTGCCTGTTGCAGCGTGGGCACTCATGGCGGAAACACACACACACACACACACACACACACACACACACACACACACACACACCTATCTCCTGTCCCGTCCTGTCCCGTTGACCCATTGGCGTTAACGGATACTTCGTCCCATCCGGGTAGGAGAGATGATGGACAATGTTTCCGATGGTGAGTCTGGTCTTGGATGTGTCGAAATAGTCAACTGAAGATGTATACACACATGCACACAGCCGCACACACACGCACACGCACATGTGTACACACACTTAGGTACATCAAACATGTCTTCCATTAAATTTTTATGCTAAAGTCAATTTCACACGATCTGACAGTTTACAACGGCCTGGTATAGCAGCGAATGCTATGCTCAAGAAATGAACCCATCCAGAAAATTGTACACGCACCTGCGTAGACTGTAGTAGTAATGATGACAGGCTCGTCATGTGGCTGCATCATTCTGATCAGCGGGCTCAGGATCACTGTCAGATCCACAGTCACTGGAATCGGAGGAATCCTCCACAGACTCCGAAGTGGTGGTGCTGCTTGTAAGGTGGCTGGAACCAGGTTTGGTGGAGCAAGTTCGACAGCCACATACATCTGTGCAAGGCAACATGGACTTGTGGCATGCACACCTCTGGCTGGAGCAGTCTCCGACCACGCAGTTGCACTTCACCATGGCTAGAACCTCCTTGGGTGCCACGTTGGTTAATAGCCAAGTAATCTTCAATACACCTGCACCACACGGAAAAAAAACGCCAGACATTGGGCATTGTCCAAAGTCTGAAAAAAGGAAACCGGGGATACTGGATGAGTTCTAGGTGGAACTGTTTGAATACTCGCACTAAGTAGGGAACATAATATTATTAAAGTTTGAAGGTGGGCTCAAAATCTTGATGGTGAATGCACATTTGGGAGATGTACGGTGCATTATCGTTATACATCAGTAGAACAGAAAGATGACGGGGGGGGGGGCATTGGGTGGGGTGGTGGTGGTCGGGGAGGACGGACCATGTCCGGCCAATTTTGAAATGACTGGACATCGGGCCCGGCCATCTCACATTCCTTTGCATGCACTGACCTGCCTCGATAGTCCATCCCTGGCCATCAGGACTGGGTTGGTCGGGTTGGCGTTGCAACGCAGACTTCCAGATAGCTGCCTGGTAATTGGCACGACGTGCGTGCTGGAGAAGGGCGTCCTCGCAAGGTGGAAGTTGCCTTGGGTCTCGTGCCTTGCTGGCATCGCAGAACAGCTTGTACCGCAAGCCATTGACATCGGCAGAGGAGCCTGTGGCACCGTACAGTGCACATACAAACTGCTTGCATCCATTGAAAATGGACTCCTGCATTGCAAAACTCTGCCCAAGAGCTGCCATTGCACCCGCGAGGTTGCCATTTCCCTTAACAAGCTTCAGGCCACGGGCTTTGCCTTTCCCAGAAAAGGCGCTGATTGCATCACATCCGGTGAAAGCATGGAGCCCTATCAGAGCGCCGCAGACTGTCGGGCCAAGCTTGTCGGCAATTGCAGTGACATTCAGCACTCTCCTCTTGGATTTCTGGCCAGTGAGGATATAGACAGTTCCATGTAGAGATGCTGAATGCGCTAGAGCCAGGACAAAGACATCAGTGTCTTGCGAGAATATGCAGACGGAAGATGCACCACGGCAGAGGGAATGCTCGGCATGCAAGAACATGCGCGTGTCCGCTTCTTCGTGCGTGCACTCGAGCAACGGTTCGACAGATGCGCTGAACTGGCCATCATCCTTGGCCTCCAGACGCCAGGACTTCACGCCAACAGTCACGTAGATGCTCTGGCCAGGATGTAGTAGAAGAGCAGCTTGGTGTTCTGCCCACTGGTCGGCGAAGAACTGCACAAGATCAGTCTTGTTCTCACCGCAGGTCATAAATCTGCTCCAATCCGTGGGGATGGCTTGATCTGGGCGCTGTACGTGGCGACGGATGTGTCCAGCGGATGCATGCGAACGACTCTGCCTCTCAAACGACTTGATGGAGTTGGTGTGGTACTCGTCGGCTACAAAGTCTAATCGGCTAGACCTATGGGACACGAGAAGCTTCACCAGGTACTTCAATACCTGTTCGCTTAGCTGGCCGAATGTCGGCGGAAGTGACGTCTGAGCTCGTAGCATGGCCATTGCATCAATTACGAGCGCACACCCATCAGGAATCGAGTTTGCAGCCTCAGCTACGTCCTCGACTTGCTCAAGCAATGCCATGAGCTTCGACTTCTGCGTGGTAACTGGAGTGCCGTCACCCTGGGCTAGTGATAGCGGAAGTGTACCCAGCTCGTGCGTGAGCAGCAACCTCATGTCAATGGTTCTCACCTGCGCCATGACAACAAGTTGCTGGAACAGCTGAACCTGCTGCAAAGCAGTATCAGCTCGACAAGCACGTGAGGACTTCTTCCTCTTGGCGGGGGCCTTGAACGTCTCCAGTTTGTTCTTTTTCAAGACGTCAGAGATGCTGCTTCCATCGGTGACCATCCGGTTCGCAATGAACTCCTGCACAGCATTCTCTCCGACCGTCTGCGCCGCATGCAAATCCTTCTGCACACTAGCTGAGGGCACATCTCTCGTGGCAAGGTTGACAAGGTCACCTGGCTGATAGGGGTTTCCGTACTCACTCAGCACCTTGCCGATGGCCTCAACATCATGCTGGTCTCTCGTCATACGGTGCTTGGTGCTGTCCTTGTGGGTAGTCGATGAGTTGTCTCGGTCGAGACCTGCCAAGCTGTAACAAGCTGATGTAACAGCGGCACATTCATGCGCAGTTAGCACCCAACGTTCCACGGCGCCTTTGTTTCGTGAGAAGCCGACAATTCCACCAGGTGTTTTGCTGTCCCTGTTGAATGTCTGCTCGATGGTTTGATCGACAGGGACCTTGGCGAAGGACTTGGAGGAACGCGTTGCTGTGAAGTCTCCAGCCTTTAATGCTTCCGAAGCGGACGGGTTCGTATCGGGCAGTCGTACCATGTCGCACCAGTACATTGTGAGGTAGCGGGCATAGTGTTGGTGGTCGTACGCATAAAACCACGGCAAAAGCTTCCGAACACATGCCAGATGCAGATTCCAGTCTCCAGTGCGAGTCGCTCGAATAAATTGCAGCAACAAGCTGATCATCTCCAGGTAAGACAGCCAATAGGAAGCCATGGACGGCTTGCTTGCCTCCTGCTGGCTAGATCTGCAATAGTCTGCCTTCAGTACTGCGAATGCCGATGACTTGGTTGCCATGCTTGCAGCATCATAAATTCCGCTGTCACGGAGGGCACAGATTGCATCTTCGATGTGCTGAAGGTCGCCACCATTCT